TTTGGGATTTAAAGTCACCCCCAACCCAGGAGTGACCCAGACCCTGGAGCAGGGATAAATCCCTTGCTCTGCAGCACAGATATTCCCAACAGGTGCTTGAAGGCTGGAGCTGAAACCAAACCACGCTGGGTTTCAGGGAGGTGGGCTCGGGAGCAGGTCTGATTCCAGGGAAAGTCAGTCTGGATTGGATATCTCCCTCCCCTTGGCTGCTGGGCTGTCTGACACACAATATCCATAGGGAGACAGCTGCACTGGGAGCTGGAAAATCTGGATCTGTTGGAGCAGCATTTGTCTGTGCCATGCAGACGTGCTCTGGGTAAATTTGATGTGTGGGTGTTTCTGAACAAAGAGAAACAATTGGCTGTTTTCACCTTGTCCTGTGTTTTAGGAAGGGGAATTAATAAGAATTAATTACGTGAGCTCTCTCTAGCATAGCCAGGTGGGAGGGTTGATTTTGACCAGGTGATATTTTTGAGTCAAAAAAACAGAAAAACAGAAAATTCATTATGCTTGGACTGAGTTTTTATCTTCTGAAGGCTTTCAGCCCTTCCCTCCCTCCCTGCTTTCTCCCTGATTGTCCAACAAAATGGTTTGGGATGAGGAGACTGGGGGAAAGGACTGTGCTGACTCCTCTGCAGCCATGGCCAGGCTGTGCCAACTTGGGATGGTGAATTTATTTATGGTAAATAATAAAGATGAAAATTGGACATCACTTGATGTCTAGCTACAAATACAAACCCTCCATTGCCTGAGGGGTTCGAGCATTTGGAAGACACTTGAAAACCCTAAAAGGAATAGAGGAAAGTGTATTTAGGTTTGGGGTTTGCTTCTTCCCTTCCCTCCTCCCCTCCGGCACATCCTCCTGCTCCTCCCCTGCCCCAGCAGAGACCTCTGGAAAATCCCAAACCATGGATTTTGCCACGCCAAGTTCCGAGCGTGTCCCGAACCCTCGGAGCGCGTGTGGGGCGGGCGCAGCCGCCATTGGAGGTTGATTTTATTCCCTTTTTTTTTTCCCCCAAAAAAACCCAGCCCGTGGCTCCCTCTCCGGCTGCGCCAGAGATAACAATGGGGGGCTTTGTGCTGCCCTGCAGCTGCTGAAATTTGACGAGATCCAAGTGAGGAAAACAGGAGCAGGTGGGTCAACAACATGACCCTTTCGTTCCCAGCAGTATCAGTGAGCCCGGGAATAAGGATGTGTTGGTTGGGGCTTGGAGGATGGCAGTTGTCTCTTGGAGAGAGCCCTGGTGGGGTTTGCTGCTGTTTATGGGATGGGTTTCACCCCCAAGACTCCAGGATTGGGGAATGTTACTGGAGGTCGTTGGTCCCGTCATTCCCAGATTGTTCAGTGGTTTTGGGATGCTCCATGGCTTCTGTGTGGATGCTCCTGAAGCTCCCAATGTCCTGAAGCTCCAATATTTGCCTTCCCATCCCACAGCCCCAAAGTGGGGCTGTCCCAGATGTGGCTGCTCCATCCCTGGCAGTGCCCAGGCCAGGTTGGACAGGGCTTGGAGCAGCCTGGCACAGTGGAAGGTGTCCCTGCCATGGCAGGATTGGCACTGGGTGGGCTTTGAGATCCCTTCCAACCCAAACCATTCCATGATTCTATCCCAGTTTCTTCTCTGAGTCCCCCAGGCCATGGAGATGTCTCCTTCCTGTCTGTGTTTTTTGCTGCCCTACAAAATGTCGGGTGTGGGAATTGCTGCAGTTGGAGGAGGGTTTGGGATGTGCTTCCCAGGGTGTTTGGTGCACATGGAGGATGTGGCTGTGTTCACCTCCTGGCACTGCCACATCAGCAAATGCATCTCACTGTAGAATCCTGGAATGGTTCAAGTTGGGAGGGACTTAAATCATCACCTTCCTCACCTTCATCACTGCTCCCATGTGATAGCAGCAAGAGGAGGGCAAAAACCAGGAGAGAAATCCTGGAGTTCATGGGCTGGGAGGGTCAGTGAGGAACCCTGGAGAAATCCTGGAGTTACTGAGCTGGGAGGGTCAGTGAGGAACCCTGGAGAAATCCTGGAGTTCATGGGCTGGGAGGGTCAGTGGGGAACCCTGGAGAAATCCTGGAGTTCCCTTCAGGTGTCACAGTGTGTTTGGGCTCTGTCAGCCCCTGAGTGGTGTTCAGAGGTGACAACACTCAAAGCTCAGCAGGGACGTGGCTCCAGCCTCAGAGCTGTCTAAGAATCTGAAGGATTTGGACTCTGAGGCTTTCAGGGCAGATGTGAACAACTGTGTGTGAGTCAGCGGGGAGGAACGGGAGGTTCTGCTGATGGATTTGGAATTCTTGGGCCTGGTATCATCTTACAGCCCAGTGAGGGTGAGCTGGAGCCCAGCTCCCCCCTCGTCCCCTGAGCTGTGGATTCACTTGTGCTGTTCAACATGTTCATCTCCTCAAATCTTCCTGACTGAGCTGGAATTTTTATAGAAACCGCAACACAGGAGGATCTGGGATAATTCCAGCACCCCCAGCACTTCCAGTGGCCATGGAGCAGCATCCAGCAGCAGTTTGTTTGCACGAGATGAAGCCTGAAAGAGGAGTGGGCTTGGGGGTCTTCTCCAAGCTTAATGTAAGAGTCTGTGCTGGAAGGAAGAGGCCAGGACAGGTCCAGGACAAGGATGGATGGATGGATGGATGGATGGATGATGCAAGTGGGTGATGGATCCCAGAAAACTGATCCCACATGGGCAGCTGTGGAGACTCCATCCCTCAGGAAGGGGGTTGTGAATAAATCAGAGCCTCTCCCAGCTTATCTGCCCCTAAACCTGGTTTTAGCAGGACCTTGAGGCAGGAGTAGAGCCCCACATGCCCTCACCAGGGAGCAGCCAGAGCTGAGCAGGATTTAACCCCAAACTGGGTGAATTTTGGGGCCCAGACTCCTGTCCCAGCCTGTGAGTAGAGTTTGTGCTTGGCTGCACTTGCAGTTAAACCCAGCTTAGGGCTGGCTTAGCTGCAGAGCAGCCGGGGGTGCCAGGGCTGTGCCCAGCAGCTGGCAGCGCTGTTTACTCCGTGCTGCTCCCGGCACAGCTCCATCCTGCTGTGCCAGCTGGTGCCAGGATTCCAGCCCATCCCTTTGGGATAAAAGCACAGGTGCAAAGCTGAACTCGTGGTCTAGGCCATGCCAGCAAGGCTTGGCTTGGCTTTGCCCACGTGGGTGCTGGGAGCATCCTCCTGGAGCCGTGGGATGTGCGGGAATTGTCCTGCAGGATGCCAGCATCCTTCTGTGCCCCTTGCTGGGGTTAAAAACCAAGCAGAGAATGCTGCTGGTGTGCCCGGCTGGGTGAGGGCAGTGCTGCTCTCCATGGGAATGGATGCCCAGGGATGCAGGAGTTTGGATCCCACCCCAACACCCATCCCCAGCAGGGCAGGGTGGTGATTACCATATGAAAACAGGGATAACAGTGGGATTCTTGTGCCGGCGGGAATGAGGGAGATCTACGACCCTTTTGGTGCCAGTCAGCCCCGGAGCTGCGTTCAGGCACAATTAACCTTTCACTTTTGGGATGAACCGGTGCTTTCCTGCTGCAGCTGCTTTTGGGACAATATTCCTTACTTCTCCTTCCAGAAACATTAATTTGGGCATCTGGGGGGGCTGTGCTGGGAACCACAGGCTGTGTGGAGGGAGGAGGGGGAGTTTTAAATGGCTTTGATGTGTAATCTGAGTTTTAAAAATTCCATTTTGATTTAAGGGTTTTTTGCACATTAAGATTAAAAAAAAGGAGGTTTCACGACTGTTATTGGAAATATTTTCAAGGAAATTCAAAGTGGTTTTTCCTGTGTGACAACATCAAATCAAGGGTTGGAAAAATCTTGGGGTGGGGGATCAGGGAGCTCAGGCTGAAGCTGGAAGGGATTGATGTGTTTGGAATGGATTTGGAATGGGTTTCCCTGCCTCTTTGGGCTGGGTGAAGGAATTGTTATGGATCAAACTGGTGAAGTGCCTGGAGAAACCTTGGGAATGAACCAGAGCCGTGGGCACTGCCTGGTTTAATTGGCATAGCTGAGAATGTCAGAGCCTTGATGGCTCCACCAAGGAATTTTCATGAATTCTGATCAGCAATGTGCAATTTAATGTCTTTTTTTTTTTTTTTTCATGGTTTCAGAGTACAATTCTATCACACAGAAATATTTGAGAATCAGAATAATTGGAGGTGGGACAATGCTGCAGCAATTTAGTTTTGGCAGGGATAAATTGGTGCTTCCAGACATGGTGAGGGTTGGACTTCACCTGTCAAAACAGAGCTGTGTGTTCTGCCTCTCTTGGAATAATCATTCCAATGTTTGTAGGCTGGGATGGAGGAGAAAATGCAAAATACAGATTTGCATGGATTAGGTGGAGTCTGTCTGCTCCAGAGGATCCAGGGAATGGATTCGTGGTGGGATCCCACAGCTCTGCTTTGAGCTCAGTCTAGGGTAATTTGGTTAAATCCAGGGATGTGTAAAATCCAACAGTTGGTGGAAGTGGCCTAGTGGACAATTTTGGTACCTTTTTGATTTTTTTTGTGATTAAAATTCCGAGCTTCTCATTGCACTGAATGTTGATGATGACAAGACCTAATGGGATCTTAATTGCTATTTTTTGAAGTTAAAACTGCCCCATTTTGGCAAAAATCCAGCCCAGTCCATGGCACTGCTGGATCCATCCATGACTGGAGGAATCAGTGGCGCTGCTTGCTTGTCCCGTGCCACTTCCCAGAGCACCTAAATCTCATTTTGTTTGCTTCATAGAAGTTATTACTTTTTATAAAATCCCCCCTTTTATGCAATTTTTGCTTGGAGAAGAACAACACAACCCCAAAGCTTCAAACCCCTGAATCCCTGCTGTGTGGGATGTTTAGTTTAGGGCAGCTGGTGCCTGATTTCCCCCAAATTAACCTTAAAAAGCATTCAAGGTCTTTTGTTTGTTTTTTTTTTTAATCCTTCCATTTAAATTTAATTCCAGGATAACTTCCATCACTTGCACCATGCTTATTTCCTTCTTCACTTCTCGTTGGCCCTGCAGGATGGGAATCACAGCTCCTGGAGACAGGATTCCTGGGAATATTCCTGTGCCCCCTCTGGACCCTGTCCCGCCTGCCCCAGGGCTCTCCTCCTTCCAGGATTGTCATCTGGAGTTTCCGCTGGCTGATTTTCAGGATCATGCTCGGAGCGGTGAGTGGGAATTCCCCTTTGGCTTCTTGGAGGTGCCAGCAGCAGGAATGTCCCATCCCAAATGTCCCATCCCAGCTGGGAATTTGCCAATCCAGCGCCTCGGGGTCTCTTGGTTTGGGAGTTTTCCCACTAAGGAGGAAAAGCTCCCTGCTCTGGTCCTCAGGATCCTTCAGCTCGCTCCTCCTGGTTTTGTTTTGAGGAGGAAGAGCAGGAGGGAATGATCTGTGTGGATGTGTTGGTGCTGCACTTGAGGGGCTCCTCCAAAGGAATTAAAGGGAACTTGGGCGTCGTGGCTTTTCCACAAGACTCTTGGAATCCTGTGGGTAATTCCCAGCTTTCCCTGGATTTCTTCTCCTTTGTTTTTTGCTTTTCTGAGCTGTCACTCTCTGCTCTGTGCTTCCAAACTGAAAAATTGCTGCAGAACTGTCCCGGTGCCAGAGGGAATTCCCAAGCAGCTCGTAAGGGAGTCCATCAAGACCTGACACATCCCTGTTAAAACAGGGCATGGCAGGGGCGTTCTCTCATCAGCTCCATCTGCTTGGACCTTCCAGAACATCCCAAAACTTTAAAGCTGAGGATCATCACTGTAGGAGGAGTTGTTGGGTTTTTTGGAATTTTGCCTTAGAATTTTTTCAGGGATCTCAGGGTGAAGGTTTTATTTGAGGCATTTTTTACCAATGGGATCTGAACCAAATGTCAGCACATCCTGAGGGATGCAGGCTGGATCCCAGGATCTTGATGCTTCTTTGGATTCAGCAAGGTGTTTTGTTTGGTTTTTTTTTTTTTTAATCCTTCCATTTAAATTTAATTCCAGGATAACTTCCATCACTTGCACCATGCTTATTTCCTTCTTCACTTCTCGTTGGCCCTGCAGGATGGGAATCACAGCTCCTGGAGACAGGATTCCTGGGAATATTCCTGTGCCCCCTCTGGACCCTGTCCCGCCTGCCCCAGGGCTCTCCTCCTTCCAGGATTGTCATCTGGAGTTTCCGCTGGCTGATTTTCAGGATCATGCTCGGAGCGGTGAGTGGGAATTCCCCTTTGGCTTCTTGGAGGTGCCAGCAGCAGGAATGTCCCATCCCAAATGTCCCATCCCAGCTGGGAATTTGCCAATCCAGCGCCTCGGGGTCTCTTGGTTTGGGAGTTTTCCCACTAAGGAGGAAAAGCTCCCTGCTCTGGTCCTCAGGATCCTTCAGCTCGCTCCTCCTGGTTTTGTTTTGAGGAGGAAGAGCAGGAGGGAATGATCTGTGTGGATGTGTTGGTGCTGCACTTGAGGGGCTCCTCCAAAGGAATTAAAGGGAACTTGGGCGTCGTGGCTTTTCCACAAGACTCTTGGAATCCTGTGGGTAATTCCCAGCTTTCCCTGGATTTCTTCTCCTTTGTTTTTTGCTTTTCTGAGCTGTCACTCTCTGCTCTGTGCTTCCAAACTGAAAAATTGCTGCAGAACTGTCCCGGTGCCAGAGGGAATTCCCAAGCAGCTCGTAAGGGAGTCCATCAGGACCTGACACATCCCTGTTAAAACCAGGGCGTGGCAGGGGCGTTCTCCCATCAGCTCCATTTGCTTGGACCTTCCAGAACATCCCAAAACTTTAAAGCTGAGGATCATCACTGTAGGAGGAGTTGTTGGGTTTTTTGGAATTTTGCCTTAGAATTTTTTCAGGGATCTCAGGGTGAAGGTTTTATTTGAGGCATTTTTTACCAATGGGATCTGAACCAAATGTCAGCACATCCTGAGGGATGCAGGCTGGATCCCAGGATCTTGATGCTTCTTTGGATTCAGGGAATGCCTGGATGTGGCACTCAGGGCTCTGCTCTGTTTGGCAGTGTAGGGATTGGTCATGGATGATGATCTTGAAGTTCTTTTCCAGCCTCAGTGATCCCAGGGTTCTGTGGTTCTGGATTGCTGAGTGAATTGACACCAAGTGTAGCCAAACATCCCCAATTTCCTTTAAAATTGATCTGATCACCAGTTTGCTTCCTGCTTTCCTTCTAAACTGGGATCTGCCTGAGATTTTTTCCTGCAGATGTGTCTCATATATTCTGAATTATGGGGCAGGCTGGATATGAAGGAAAACTCTGCTTCCCAAACATCTCTGTTCCCGTTATCCCTGCGCTGCTCTCAGCTTTGCCAGGAGAGCAATAACTCCTGATATTTTTGGGAAGAGACACATCCCTGTGTGTCTGAGACACTGATATATCACCAACAGCCACAGAAGAGGAAAACACGGAAAGGTCATTAAATGGGGACCCCCCCCAAGCGAGTGATTGATGGGATCTTTAATGTTTTGGGGCCCGAAGTCATGTAGGATTTCTCCTGGGCTGGGGAACGGCTCAGCAGGCAGTGGGAAGGAGGAGGATCCTCCTGGAGCCCAGGTGCACCTGCTCCCAGTGCATCTCTGGTTTCCTCCCGAGCTGGCCAGGAGCTCAGCACGTGCAGCAGGAGTTTCCCCAGGGCTGGGATTGGCAGTGGTGGTGTTTTCTGCAGGAAGTTCGGCTTTCCCGCATGGTTCTCCCAGGATTCTTCAGGCTGGTTGGGGTGAGGCTTTCCTTGGGAAATCCTCCAAGCAAGCAGCATTCCCTGGGGGCAGCTGGGCTTTCCTCACCTTGTGCTGGGTGTTAGGAGAGTGTTTTGGGAATGTTCCCTGGGTGGGCGAGGTGGTGTCTCCTCCCCAGGTTCCCATCCCAGCGCTCTCCTGGTTTTTTTTCCATGGTTCCTTCCTGAACCACGGGGCTGATTTCACTTGGCAGCCCCTTTTCCCTCCACTCAGTGTTTCATTATTTGGGATCTTTCTCCACGTGGAGCTCTGACAACCTGGGACTTCGCACTGAGCAGAGCTGCTCTGGTTTGGAGGAGGACGTTGCAGGAAAGGTTGGAACGAGACGATCTTTAAGGTCTCTTCCAACACAAACCATTTCATGATTAAGGAGTTTTGCTGTTTCCTGGCTAAACCTCCTCCCAAAAAATCATGTCCAGACCTTGCTGTACTGTGCACAGGAGCTGGCTGGGTTTGTTTAGGGAGAAGTGGGATAATCCCAGCAGTGGTGGGAGGCGAGGAGCTCAGGCAGGCGCTGCTGCCGGGGTTTGATTGGCAGCGAGTGCTGGGCTGAGCTCAAATATTGCTGCCTTTTTAAAAGGCATAATTACGTGATTCAATCTATATGTTTGATGTTCCTAATCATCCATTAGAGCAGGATGTAAAGAGGGATGCTTCCCAGGAACATGCCACAGAATAGGGGCTCTTTGTGTGAGCCAGCAGCTCGTTAGGCAGTGAGTGATGCAAACACACATTTGCAGGGCTGCTTTCCCTCAGAAGAGCTCGGTGGTTTGATGGCTTCATCATTTTGTTTGTGACTCTCTGTCACTCGGATTTCCTGAGGCTTGGAAGATGCAGAGCATGGGTTTGTGATGCCATCAGAGTCACGAGGTGGGAGGCAGAGGTGTGTGCTGAGATTTCTGCCACTCCTCAGGCAATGGGATGAGAGGACACAGCCTCAACTTGCACCAGGAGGGTCAGATTAAATGTTAGAATTATTTCTTTTTTCTCTGAAGGAATGGTCAGCATTGGAATGAGTTGCCCAGGGAGGTGGTGAAGTCACCATGGAAGTGTTTGAGATACTGGATGTGGCACTTGGGGATGTGGTGGCACTGGGTGGTCCTGGAGGTCTCTTCCAACCTGGATAATTCTGTGATTCCAACCACACAACACGTTCTGTGTTAACCAAGCCACAGGGCCTTCCCAAGAGGAGCAGCTCCACTTCCAGCAGGGTCCTTGGTGTGGTGGCATTGAGGTGTTTTGTCATCTGCAACTGCCAGGGGACTCTGCAGTGCTCTCCAAGCCTTGTCCCTCTCTCCAGTTACACAAATATTTGATCCAGCAGGCAGAGCTGGTTTCCAGCTGCTCCATTCCCTCAGTGGTGGGTGGGTTTGGGGTGGTGTCAGCCCCTTCTCCCAGCCCCTTGCTGCAGGCTGGGGTCCTGAGGGAGCTCCTGGCAGCCCTTTTCCCAAAGTGCAGAGTTTAATAACCCCTGATTCCCAAAAAATGGATTGGTTGGAGCTGTGCTTCCCTGGACCAGCATCTCCCTGAATCTTGTGAACTCCCAAGGCCCAGTCCCACTGGTGCCAGCTCTGCTTGGAGCTTTTTGGGGAGCTTCTGATTGAATCCCCATCCTGTGCTTCCAAGGTGAGGCTTTCCCTCCCAGAGGGAAGAGTTTCTGCTTCATTTTTGGGTTGTTTTGGGGGTTTTTAGGGCAGCAGCCTTGCTCAGGAGCTCTCCATCAAATACACCTTGTGGCTAAAACCCCATTCAGCAAACATTAGTCCTGGGTTTTTCCTGCAAGGCCTGAGAGTAGATAACAACTTCATGGAGTCCATACATTCTGGGGAATTCCCTGCTGCAGGTGAGACCCACGTGCTGGGGGAGCCCAAATTCCTGCCCAGGGCTGGACTGGAGCTGATGAATTGCCAACAGCATCCTGGGGAAAGCCTGGAGTAGCTCCTTGTGTTCTGAAAGTCATCAGGGATTGTTAAAGTAAGCCATAAAAGAGAGTTTCTGTTTCTTCAGCAGGGCAGGGGCTGAGGGGCGTTGTGGGAGCTCAGAAATGTGAGAATTTGGTTGTCATCAACACGTGCCTGCAAGTGCAGCAGCCCTGAGCACACCTGGAAGCTGCAGGAGCACGGGAATGGGATCTCAGAGGGGTTTGGGAAGAGCCCTGGAGCAGCAGGTTCATCCTCTAGCCCTGCAGTGGGTGAGGGGGCAGTGCTGGGGGGCTTCTCCTGATGTCTCTGCCCTGGGCTGTTCCTGGGTGCAGGAGCAACGTTCCCTGGCTGAGCCCTGGGGTGGGAGCTCAGGCTGCATCCTGGGTGCTTGGTTGGTGTCCAGCAGCACTTCCCTGGAGCTCTCAGCCCTGCTGGGATGTGCCCATTATCCAGAGCACTCCTGGGTCACTTGTGATGATGGTCTGTACAAGGAATATCACCCTGGAATGGTTTGGCTTGGAAA